ACATTAAATCAGTAGAGTTTGTATTTTTCCTCCCATAACTGAAATGCCCACTTAACAGTGAAAGTTAACATCAAAGGTTTTATTTTTCACATGTAACAAAGAATCTGAAGTAGGAAATCTGGGAAAATTCTTTCTTTTGGCCACACTATGTAGTTTTTTTCGTTCAGAATGGTCACATCAAAATTGCGTAATGAGCCGGACACCCATAACTTGCACCTGTAATCCTAGCTACTTAGGAGGCTGAGATCTGAGGATTGCAGTTCGAAGCCAGCCCCAACAGGAAAGACCAAGAGACTCTGATCTCCACCAAAACCATCAAAAAGTAGAAGTAGAGCTGTGGCTCAAGAGGTAGAGAGCTAGCCTTGATCAAAAAAGCTCAGGGACAGTGCTCAGGCCCTGAGTTCAAGCCCCAGAACTGGAACAAAAAAACAAAAACCCATATTTTATAATGGTCGCAAAATGTTTCCTCTACCTCTAGCACTTACATGGGCAGAATGGGGTGAACAATTAAAGTCAAAATGAAGCAATCAAACTCTCCTTTTGAAGAAGTGCTTTTAAAAGCCAACATGTTTATATAGTGCTGACCAGAATTGTCTCCTAGCTATGAGGGGCCTAGGAAATCAAGCTGCTTTAATGAGACATGCTGCAAAATCAAACAAAATCAGGCAGTATTGTGCAGAGGTTAAACACATCCTAGAGCCAATAAGTCTGGGTTTAAAATCTTGTTCCTTTTTAGCTTGCTTTAGGACTCAAGTAACCTTATAGTTTTCCCACTATAAACTAGGATAAGTAACGCGATCTTTCCAACAGGGGGCTTGTGAGAAGTAAATGAGTTAGTATAAGAGCTTAGTACAGTCTCTAATAAATAGCAAACCTAAGTGTTTGCGATATTGTTATTATCAAGGAAAAGCAGATGTGTATTTGTTATACAACCTGCAATACCCACCACAAATGTGTTGCACAGTCTCATAATTGTACTTGGCCTGGATACTGTGCCACATATGAGCAAATGCTCTGCTCTGAGAACTGCTGTAAAACTAAAATCCTATCCTAACACAAGTGACCATAACCTTTATGAACCATTAACCTTATGCCCATTTCTGGGGAACAAAGAACAAGCAAAACTTTCAAATGTTTGAGCCAGGGAACCACTGTGAGTCACTGTGCCATTTTAGACATATATGACTTGGACACTTTCTATTACAAGTGTCAATGAATCTATTCCAGGTGGCTTCAGCAAAACTGGTAAAACGGCCTCCATTTTCCTATCTCTTTCCTAGACCAACAGGACCCTCAGTCTTGAAAGAGACCCTAGATGAATAGTCCAGGGAGCTACAGGAGGACATAAGTAACTGGCCACTCAAAGACTCAGACATTAGTAGTCAGTGTACCTCTAACCAGTTTTGTGGAAAAAGCCACACAGCCGATAACTGCCTCCATTTTTCTACCTGGAAATTGGGAATAACTTTTAGCACCAGAGGAAAAAAGATGGGGTCTAGTTAGGCTAATCCTTGTATTTCACAGGGGAGGAGTCAGGGCTTGGAATGTGAACTGGCCAGCCAAAGAGTACATAGCTGATGAGTAGCCACAACAGGACTAAATGCAGATCGTGACCCCTCCCATTCCCCCCCCCCATATTAATACTCAGTCTACCCACCTGTTTCCTCCAAGGCCTTTCTCAGAAAAACAGGAGTTGGCTGAAAGGAGTTGCTTTTTTCAATCAGTGCCATGTCCCTATTGTCCTACTGGGAAGATGCCAGAGAACTCCCTGAGGTCAGGTCGGCCTGGGTGCTTGCAGATGCTGAACCCAAGGGTTTTCAAGCTTAAGAGTGATGAGGATTCCTAGTAGAGCGACCAAGAGCAATTCAGAAGGCCTAGAGAAAGCAAAATGAACAGCAGCAGCCCATAGAGGCCACTGTGGTGAGAGTCTGAACAACCTCTGAGACCACAGAAACAATGGCAGGGTTAGAAGTTTCCATCTATGCAGTCACGCGGGGCCAGTGATGGATTTGATCACCGCAGATTACATGTCTGCAGTTTGGGATTCTCAGGAACCTGTGACCTCGGGAACCTATCGTTTTCATATCACAGGACTTGGGGACCCTCAAGTTTCATGACCTGCCCTAAAGCTCCCGTGGCCACCATAAAGAAATGGTGGGGCTGGGCGCTGGTGGCTCACACCTGTAATCCTAGCTATTCAAGAGGCTGAGATTTGAGGATCACACTCAATTCAAAGCCAGCCCTGGCAGGAAAGTCCATTAGACTTTTATCTGCAATTAACCACCAGAAAACCACAAGTGGAGCTATGGCTCAAGTGGTAGAGCACTCACCTTGAGCTGAAGAGCTGAGGGACAGCGCCCAGGTCCTAAGGCTGGCAAAAAATAAAACAAAATAAAATAACAAAAACAATGGTCCTCAGCACGCCTGCCCTAATCTCACGGCCAAAGCGAGCCAAGGCCGGAAGTGGGGCTGTGGCTCAAGTGGTAGAGCGCTAGCTTTGAGTGGAAAAAGCTCAGGGACAGCGCCCAGGCCCGGAGTCCAAGCCCTCCCTCCGCCCCGCCCCCGCCCAC